TCCGCCTCCTCCCTCCTCCTCCCTCCTCCCTCCTCCTCCCTCCTCTCCTCCTCCCTCCCTCTCCTCCCTCCTCCTCCCTCCTCCTCCTCCTCCTCCTCCCCTCCTCCTCCTCCTCCCTCCTCCTCCTCCTCCTCCTCCTCCCTCCTCCTCCTCCTCCTCCTCCTCCTCCTCCTCCCCTTCGTCCTCCCTCTCCTCTCTCCCCTCCTCCTCCTCCTCCTCCTCCTCCTCCTCCTCCTCCTCCTCCTCCTCCTCCTCTTTCGCCGCTAAGCCGCTCTCTGGTGGCTTCGCTGGGCCGGTGTTTCACCCCGTTCTTGTTTTTCAAGATGGCGCTTTGAAATATGCGTGCGTTGCGTGTTGGAAAAAGCATTTAACCAAACTTACATAAAAAAAACGATACATTTGCATGAATGTTTGAAGCTCATTCTTGTTTTGGCTAATTTTTTTGCGCTCACATTCCCCCGTGTTTGGACATATATTTCTGTTTTGAAAGGTTGGTTTGCGTAAGGCATGGAGGAATATGCAATATTTGCCTTCTACATGTTGCTTGAAAATTGTTCAATATCTTTCTGATTATTTTGTTCAACCAAGCCGAGCTGAGTGAAAACATAATTTTGCTCGTGATCATCGCTTGGAATATGTATAATTTTCTTCGGAGTGTGATTGTTGTGAATTTCCAGACTTGGGAATATTTCGGAAAATCGCCCCAGGCCGCGCTCAATTGTTTGTTCAACTCTCCACATATGTAGCTAATGTTGCTTATTGTAGACCTAAGGTATACGACATATTCTGTTGATTGCATCGGCACTCCCGCAAGAAAAAAAACATGGAGTGTGATTTCGCACGTGCATCATGTAGAACGTATATCATTATAGTTCCAACCTTGCTTTCCCTCCAGACGCGGCAATTGTATTCCAAAAATCTTGCGATCATTCTTCGCGTTTGCTAAGCATTAACGCGTCGTCAGCGTACAACAAAACAGACAACTTGCCATGATCATTTGTTTCTTTTGTTGCCGCAGTGGCGTTTGGCATCGGATTCTGAATCACAACAGTCATGACCATGACACACAAAACAAGAGATAATGGACACCCTTGTGAAATGCCAAATACTTGTACTCATTCTGTCGACCTACCGCGACGCAACATCATCTCCTGCTGTAAATACTTTGGGTAAGAACCAAAAGGTGAGATGGAGGCCCAAATCTCTCAGAATGTGTATCATCGCGTCCATGTCGATTGAATCACATGTTTTTTTCCTATCCACGGCAACAGACATTTTTCCAATTGCTTCCCCTGCGTTTGCTAGCTCGATGTGCTTGCGGACAACGTGTGCCGCATCGGCCGTGCCCCGCCCCTGGCTAAATCCAATTTGAGCGTTTGTGAGCCAGGCATTTTGCAGCAATATCATGTAATTTTTTATGCAATAAAGTTGCTATTTTTTCTGCAAGTTGATAGATCAAAGAAAATGCTCCCAATCTTCAGGGACCGATTCTTCTACTCAGCATGCGCTGCATAATTTTGTTAACCATTGCAGTCGCCCAAGAATTTGTGCCACTGATTTCCAGCATTCTGCTGGTATATATGATCCCGGGCTCCGGGCCCACGGGCCCCCCCCCCCTCCCCCCCCAGATGGCATGGTCCCAGGATTCCTCGGGCCCCCCTCCCCCCCAGATGGTATGGTCCCAGAGACGACGACAACGACGACGACGACGACGGCGACGACTACGACGACGGCGACGACGACGACGACCACGACGACGACGACGGCTGCGGCGGCGATGACGCCGGCGGCGGCGGCGGCGACGACGATGACGGCGATGACGACGGCGACGACGACGATGACGACGACGACAATGAGGACGACGAGGACGACGAGGACGACGACGACGACGACGACGACGACGACCTCTGAACCACCACAGCACCACACCACATCCACAGGGGGGGGGGAGGGGGGCACCGCAGCGCAGCACCACGCCACGCCCACCTCTGAACCACCACAGCGCCACACCACATCCACAGAGGGGCGGAGGGGGACACCGCAGCGCAGCACCACGCCACGCCACCAGGGGGGGGCGGAGGGGACCATCGCGCGGGGGGGGGGGGGCCCAATGGCATCAGCATTTAGGGGGGAGGGGGGGGGGGGCCAAGCCCTGGACCATATAACATTTGGCCCCGCAGCGTTGCCCTATTTCAGCTTTCTTTTCAAGAATTCAGCTGTCGTGTCTGTGCCTTCGCTGATTTGCACCAGGTCGCCCCCCATATTTTGTAATCGTTATTGTTTGCGCAGGGGGACGCGGCATTTTTTTTTTGCTTTTTTGTTGTATCGTTTTTTTTGGGGGTGGGGGCGAAAACAAATCAAAGATATTTGCACGATGTGCGCGCAGTTTTTTCGGCAAGTGTTCTTTTTTAGACACTCTTCGCTTAGCATGCTTTTTCTGTTGATATTCGCGGGAACACCGTAGAGAATTGTTCGTACCCTTTCCGTCCATTAATTTACCATTGTATTTGTATTCGAGCCTGTTTGCCAATCTCCCCCGGTGTAATTGCGAACGTGCACGTTGCGAGATAATGATCCGTGGGTCTCGTCTATTGTTCAAAAATTCATTTGATCCAACATCGGAAGGGCGCACAAGAGCAAATCCGAAATGTTGCATTGGAGTTCGTTGCTATCACTATTAAGAAACTGCCCAACATAATCCCACCAACCCTCTGGGCTTAGGTGGTATAACGCATTTGTTTCTTCTCTCTTCCATTGAAGCCCCCCTCCTTTGGGCTTGGACGGGGCGCGCGGCGAGGCGTTAGAGCGTCCAAGATGGACCAAGATTGCTCCAAGAGGCGTTGAAAGTCGCAAGATCGCCTCCAAGATGGCCCATGCTATTTCAATATAGGTCAAGATAGCTTCCGACCTACCCCCAAGGGGCCCCCAAACAGCCCCAACACGGATCCAAATGCCCTCCGAGCCCTCCACGGCGCCCTCCCCAATGCCAAACCCCCTAAAAAGCCTAAGGACAATCAATGTTTTTGACATTCTCGCCTTTTCGCTTCTCATGGGCTTGGAAACCTCCAAATGGCCCAACAGAGACCCAATAGGGGCCCCCAAAAGCCGAAAACGGCCCCAAAATCGCCCACGAGGCGTCCAAACAACACTCCAAGAGGGCCACGCGATGCCGTTTGAGAGCCTCCAAGGGGGGGGGGGTCCTAATTGAGGGACCTCTTCTTTTTGAGCCATGTGGCCCAAGATGACTCTACGAAGCCTCCGAGTCTCTCCCCAAAGACCCTCCGCCCCACCCTGTTTAGCCCAATATGGTTCGAAGAGAGCCCTGGATAACCCAAGATGGCCTTAAACGTGGCCTTAGATAGTCAAGCATGGCTCAAGATAGCCTCCGATAAACCTCCAAGAAGCCTCAAGGCAATAACCGAACATGGCTCAAGACAGCCTCCAAAAAGGCCTCAAAAAAAACCGGCAATCAATTTTGGATGGGTTCATGGGGATTATTTTTTTGTTCGGCGGCCCGCAAGGAAAAGTCCAGAGGGCGTGTCAATCAACGGCAAAGGGGCGCGATGCCAGATAATTCGAGAGGACCAGGCCACAAAAGGAGGAAGCCGCCAAGAGGGCGCCAACCCACGCGCGCGCAACATGCAGAGCAGGACGACAACGGCACCATGCCAGAATCTTAGACCGACCGTCCTAACAACAGCCGACCGGACCAGCAGGCGGACACAAACCCTGCACGGGGCAAATTCAAGAGAGCGGACCGTCCTGACGACAGCCAGCCGCGCAGGCAGGAAGGCACACAACCAAACCTGCACGAAACAAACTCCAGAAGGCCAAGCGGCGATAGAAGGTAGGCAGCCGAGAAGGCGCCAACCCACGCACGTGCAGCATGCAAACCGGGACGACTGATGCGCCCAGCCGGAATATTAGACGGGCTGCCCTAACAACAGCCGAACACATGGACACGCAGGCGCACGCCCCACGGGACATGGCAGGGAGGCAAGCGTGCTAAGGGAGAAGGCCGCGATGCCGGCCGGCCACCAGAAGGCGGCGAAATGGGGCGGCACGAGTGTGGTGCATTGGGGGGGGCAACAGCCCGCCGCCAGAGCACGCCAAAGAGAGAGCCCAGGCAGACGATGCGGGCCCAGGTGAGCCGCGGGCTGGATTATTTCAGCCAGGCCTACGTGCTAAGCCCACGACAGTGGGGGCCAAAGGAGTGCTGGTGGGAATTCGCGAAGCGTCAAGAATTTCCTCTTCCAAAAAGAAGCACACGTACAGGCGAACACATTATATATATATATATATATACATACATATATATATATATATATATATATATATATATACATATATATGATGATGATGATGATGATGATGATGATGATGATGATGATGATGCAAGTCTTTCGTAGTAGCGACACAACGATGGTTTCCTAATGGTGACCCAACGAACACAAATGATCCAGAAGGAGTGCGCCAGACGTTTGTCAGTCCAAGACAGAAACACATGTTGGCAATTTCCAGCTTGCTGTTTAAACCGGTGAATCTATTGAACATGTTATCAAGTGACAAACGCCCATGGATCGTATCCGCCGTTCCCGTATTAATTGGATCGTTCTCCATCGCGGCCAAAACGAACTTATCTGATCGCCAACGTGTGTATATATATATACATATACATATACATATATATATATATAACAAGTTATATATTTATAGATTCCAGCACTGTGGAAGAGCAGTATTGCCTTTAATCAACATTTCCCTCCTCATTGTCAATTTCTTTCCCCTTCCTCTTTTCTTTCTTCCTTCATAGGTTCTTCCCTTTCGTCTCGCCGTATTTCACTTTTTCTCTTCCTTCGGAAGGCAACAACAAGAAAACGAAACAGGGATACTTCACATTTCAATTCCTTGAACTTCTATATTTGCATCGAATATGAATATACTTGCTAATTTCGTTTCGTTCATTGTGGGAACGAGTGCTGCACCATGAGGTGTATTTTCATGACAGAAGACTATCAGCATATTCATTTCGGCATCGCATGGAAAGGCTTCGACGCGATGGAACTGGTGAGCAAATAAACGCCCAACGCTGCAATTATACTGGCGCAGCGATAATTTGAGCAACGGACGAGACGCCGGGAGGAGAGCTTCGATACGGAATACTTGCAATTAGCACGAACAGAAATACGAACGGGCGCATCGACATAAGACCAACTGGACAGGAGGCCAGCCGGGCGTGGCACACGCCCGCGCCAAACCATCACCCCCCCGCACTAAAATTGTCAAGCCTGGTACGCAACGACGCCGTAACCCAAGAAATCCAAATTGCCTGGGCGACGATCTCCCATTGCACATCCGATCAGCAACATGGCCAAACAATTATGGTCCATGCCCCGCACGATTGGCGGGGATAAATGGCCCATACTTCAGAGGAAACGGTACTTTCGAGTCTTGGGACCTGGACCTCTGGACCATTCCTTGGGGCAGGTTTTTCTGATGTTTACTAAGGATTCCTGAGGATGCTTAACTATGCCTACGGATTCCTAAGGATGCCTACGGATTCCTAAGGATTCCTAAGGATTCCTATGGATTCCTATGGATTCCTACGGATGCCTCAGCCTGCCTCAGTTTCAGCCTCAGCCTCAGCCTGCCTCGGCTTGCCTCAGCCTCAGCCTCAGCCTGCCTCGGCCTCAGCCTGCGTCAGCCTCAGCCTCAGCCTGCCTCAGCCTCAGCCTCAGCCTGCCTCGGCTTGCCTCAGCCTCAGCCTCAGCCTGCCTCGGCCTCAGCCTGCCTCGGCCTCAGCCTGCCTCGGCCTCAGCCTGCCTCAGCCTGCCCTCCTTCCCCCCCCCCCCCCCATTCAGCCTCACCTTGTCTCAGCTTCGGCCTGCCTCGGCCTCATCCTCAGCCTCAGCCTCAGTCTCAGCCTCAGCCTGTCTCGGCCTGAGCCTGCCTCGGCCACAGCCTCAGCCTGCCTCAGCCTCAGCCTGCCTCAGCCTCAGCCTGTCTCAGCCTCAGCCTGCCTCAGCATCAACCTCAGCCTCAGCCTCAGCCTGCCTCGGCTTGCCTCAGCCTCAGCCTGCCTCGGCCTCAGCCTCAGCCTCAGCCTGCCTCAGCCTCAGCCTGCATCAGCCTCAGCCTCAGCCTGCCTCAGCCGCAGCTTGCCTCAGCCTCAACCGCAGCCTCAGCCTCAGCCTGCCTCAGCTTCAGCCTCAGCCTGCCTCGGTCTCAGCCTCGGCCTCAGCCTCAGCCTGCCTCGGCCTCAGCGTCAGCCTCAGCCTGCCTCAGCCTCAGCGTCAGCATCTCAGCCTCAGCCTGCATCAGCCTCAGCCTCAGCCTCAGCCTGCCTCAGCCTCAGTTTCAGCCTGCCTCAGTCTCAGCCTGCCTCAGCCTCAGCCTCAGCCTGCCTCGGCCTCAGCCTGCGTCAGCCTCAGCCTCAGCCTGCCTCAGCCTCAGCCTGCCTCAGCCTCAGCCTCAGCCTGCCTCGGCCTCAGCCTGCCTCGGCCTCAGCCTGCCTCAGCTCGGGCATTCAAAATATGGCACAGGACTGGTGTTCTGGGAACACAGAGATCACGAAGTGGCCCACAGTTGGCTCTGGGCAATCAGAATATGGTACAGGAGTGGTGTTCTGGGAACACGAAGAACACGAAGTGGCCCATACTTGGCTCCGGGCATTCAAAATGTGGCCTGGGAGTGGTGTTCTGGGAACACGAAGATCACGAAGTGGCCTACAGTTGGCTCCGGGCATTCAAAATGTGGCCTGGGAGTGGTGTTCTGGGAACACGAAGATGACCAAGTGGCCTACAATTGGCTCCAGGCATTCAAAATGTGGCCCGGGAGTTGTGTTCTGGAAACACGAAGAACACGAAGTGGCCTACAGTTGGCTCCGGGCAGTCAAAATGTGGCCTAGGAGTGGTGTTCTGGGGAGGAATCCATAGGAAACTATAGGAATCTATACGAATCCTGGGGAGTCCCCGGAGTCTCCCCGGCATTCCCCGGCATCCGCCCAGACCCCCCTGGGGAGTCAAGATGCTCTCTCTTGAGCCCACTAGAAACCTATCAGTCTTCGCTGTTAGGTAACTATGCGGTGACATTTTTTGTTCTCACGTAGCACTTTTTCACGAATCCCTTGCAAAAAAAGGTGACGAAGTGCACACGCGCGCGTAGTCGCGCGCGTATGCCGAAATCCTTCAGAAACCTTCGGTGCCGGAAAGATTTCGCAATCGAGTTTCCAAAACACATACAAGAACACAGGGTTTCGCAACACTGATTTGCTCAAAAAGCTTCCGCGCGAGCTCTTGCGAAATCTTAAGAAAACCATCGGATTTCAATATTTTCACAACATCCTATTCAACGGGCTTCGCGCGCGCATGTCGAAATCTGTCGAACGCCCTTGCGCGTGTGCCGTCGCGAGAATCCTCTGCAAAAAATGGGACGAAGTGCAGACGCGCGCGTCGTCGCGCGCGTATGCCGGAAACCTTCAAAGACCATCGGTTTCGGAAGGATTTCAAAATCGCGCGTCCAAAAAACCAACAAAAACACAAGGTTTCGCATCACGGATTTTCAACAAAAGCGTGCGCGCGCGCTCTTGCGTCGTCGTCGTCGTCGCCGTCCTCCCTCCTCCCGCGTCGTCGTCGTCGTCGTCGCCTACGTCGTCCTGTCTTTCCTCGTGATCGTCGTCGTCGTCCTCTTTGGCGTCGTGGTCGTTTCCGTCGTCGTTGTCGCCGTGGTCGTCCTTCCTCCTCCTCCCTCGTCGTCGTCGTCGTCCGTCGTCGGCGTCTCGTCGTCGTCCCTCCTATTTCGTCGCCGTCGTCGTCGTCGTCATCGTCGTTGTCGTCATCGTCTTCCCTCGTTGTCGTCGGTGTCGTCGTAGTCGGTCTCAAGAGGTTTTGCAAACCAAGTTGCGGGTGGGTGGGTGGGATGTTTGCAAGAGCGTGGGATGTGTCACATCATGGGTAGACATCAATTACACCACATAGGTTGCACCACAGATATTCTCCTTTCTAGCAGATAATTCGCCACCGTGCATCTGGCACGAAGTGGGATGCCCCAAGGCTCGTGCAACGAGAATTGTAAGTCTTCAAGGCCTGGACCAATCGTGTCGCAAACCTTCCCAAAATTTCCTGGGCTGGCTCCCGTGAGTTCTGAAGTATTTCCTGCGCCTCCTGTGGACGCTGTGCCCCCCCAAAACGACCTCCCGAACCCTCCCGTGAGTCCAAGAGGGCCCCGAGTCGCCGAACGATCGCAGACGGCTTCAAGATGACCCAAGAGGACTCCAAGACGCCACAAGAGGCCTCCCAAGAGGCACAAACCATTGATTTTCCGATGGTTTTTGAAGGGTTGTGGCGTTCTCGCCTTGTCGGCTTTCCGACGCTCGAAAACTGCCTGAGAGGCCTCCACTCCAAGAGGGCCTGAAGACGGCCTAAGAGCGCACCAAGAAACGCCCAAGACGGCCCGACAGGGCTCCAAGACGGCCCCACAAAGGGGTCCAATAGAGGGAACACGAATCAAAAATCCGAGCCTTCCGCCCGAAGATGCCCCCAGGAGGCCCTACGAGGCGCGCAAGAGGTCCCAAGAGGCCGCAAAGAGATCCCTCTGAAGCCCAAAGGAGGCCCCAAGAGGCCCCCAAACAGCCCCCAAGAGGTCTCAAAACTGCCTCGAAGAGGCCCTTGCGAGGCCCCCCACCAGATCCCAACGAACATCCAATAGGCTTTATACTGACAGCCCAGGCAGGGTGGCGGGATGGGCCGCAGGCCATTCGATCAGGATCGACCCCCTCTGGGATTATCCTCCCCACTGGGAGTGTGCAACTTACATATTCATCTGATCCAAGCGAAACCGATTTCGACCCCCCAACCATCCTTTGCAAACCCCGAGACGTACCCAACCCCTTCTCTACGCGAGGCAAATCTTTGCCTGAACGCTCCATACGAAACAGCGCATTGCCGGATGTGCACGATCTGCGCTGCCCTCACCTCAGCCGTGCCTCCCACGAACCCACGACAGTGGCGACAATTGCGCATTTCGTCGCATCCAGAGGAGCAGCGAGGTCTCGACTGGAACTGCGTGGTCCTTTACTCCCCGCCCTAGGAGCTGCGAGATCTGAAACGTGTCCGTTTACTCCCTGGCACCGCCGTGCCTCCCAGGAGCCCACGAAAGTGACATTCCAACAGTTGGCAACCACCCAAGGAGCTGCGAGGTTCCACATGGTCCGTTTGCTCCCAGACTCCGCCGTGCCTTCCAGGAGCCCACGAAAGTGGCGACATTCGTAGAGTACGCGGCCACCCAAAGAGCTGCGAGATTTGAAATAGTCCGTTAACTCCCCGACCCCGCCGTGCCTCCCAGGAGCCCACGAAAATGACGACATTCGTAGAGTTCGCAGCCGCTCAAGGAGCTGCGAGGTCTCAAACGGTCCGCTTACTACCCGTCCCCGCCGTACCTCCCAGACGCCCACGGAGAAAATTGCTAAAATTGCACAGTTCGCAGCCCCTCCAGGAGCTGCGAAGTCTCAATTGGTCCGTGAACTCCCCGACTCCGCCGTGCCTCCCAGGAGCCTACACGAAAAAACACCTAAACTTGAAACAGTCCCCCCAATGAGCTTCGAGGTCTCACATGGTCCGTTAACTCCTGGGCTCCGCTGTGCCCCCCAGGAGCCCACGAAAGTGGCGACAACTGCACAGTGCGCAGCCCCCAAGGAGCTGCGAGGGTCTCAAATGGTCCGTTTACTCCCCGACCCCGCCGTGCCTCCCAGGAGCCCGCACACGCGCGCGCGTCATCGCGGGCGCATGCCGGAATCCTTCAGCAACCTTAGGTTTCGTAGGAACTTCAAAATCGAGCGTCCCAACTCACCGAATCGCCCTGAAGTGCTGACGCGTCAGCGCGGCCTCTGAGTCGCGCTGGGAAGTCCCCAGCGGTCAGCGCCACCGCGGCCGCGTCTAGCTGGCCACTTTGTGCGCGAGCCTGGGCGCGCTAGCGCGGTCGCAGCGATGCGCAGGCCAGCGGCAAGCAGGCATCGCAAATGCCGCCTCGTGGATTTTTCAAACCAAGTTGCGGGTGGTTGGATGGGATGATTGCGCGAGCAGTGGAGGTGACAACTCACAAGCGAGCATAGGTCAATTGCAATACATACATTGCGCCACAAATGCTGCTAGAAGCCCACTGTCTTGAGTCCACGCTGGCAAACATGAATTCTCAACTTTTCGCATATCCCCAACAGCCCATCCAGGAACGATGCCCAGGGGAGGAACTGCCTTTATCGGGCGAGAAGTGGCATCATTTGGGCACCTCGGGGAACACCAGTGAATCAAAGGCCTCTTGGATGCCTCTCGGAGTCGCGTGGGATGTCCCCTGGGGGGCCATTGGAGCACTCCTGGGGGCATCTTTGATCTTTGGGGGCCCCTTGGGGGCTCCTGGGGGCCTCTTCAGGGGCCCTGGCGCCCTTGTTTGGGACCTCTTCGGGGCCTCTTGGGGGCGTCTTGGGAGCCTTTGGGGTGCGCCGTGGAGGGCCCCCTCTCGGGGCCATCTGCAGGGAGGTTTTTAAGACATAGGATTTTTATACATATAGGATTTTAAATACAGGATTCATGTATGAATACATTTATGCATGAACTCATCGTTGTTTTTAATACAAAATCCCTGCATTTTGAATAAATGATCCGCGCGCGGAGCATGTATAAAAACCGGCGCTGTAGGAGGAGATCGATCAAAGAAGGGCACGGCGCCTGCAGAGGCCCAAGCGCGCCGACGAAAGCCACAGCAATGGCTCCAAGAGCGCCTCGATGCCACCCCGCGAGTGCACACATACTCTCACCTGACTCGTTTCCCCCGTGGGGTTGGGGGGCGTGGCGCTGTTGCTCCCGCTCCGCGGGCTCCATGAAGTCAGTGTTCGGTCGTCTTGCCCGCGGCGCAGCGTAGCAAAACATCGGCCAAGGCAGCCCAGCAAGCCACTGTTTTCAGCTGTTTTTTTGTTCTCGCCTTTTCGCTCATGAGATGCATCTGGGGCATCAGGATGGCTCCAAACTCGCCCAATAGAGCCCCGCAAAAGGTCCAGACGGGCTTCACGGTACCTCAGAGGGCCCCCAAGGAGCACCTGAGCGGGCCCCGAATGGCCCTAAGAGCGCTCAGATCGAACCCCAAGAAACCTCCACGAAGCTCCCATATCGAAAGGCCTCAGGCCGATGTCGAGCTTCGGTTTGGATTGTTTACCCTCTCTCTGCTCCACTGCATGCTTCCACCTTCCCCGACCAGGGCGGCTGGCCCAGGGCCGTTTCTGGAGAAGCTGGCGGAGGCGTCCACGCTTCGGCGGCATCGCCTCCAATCACACGCATCGCCGTCCCCGCTCATTCCTCCCCCCTGTCTTTGCAAACTTCTTTGTCCAAAGGACGTGAGCGCGCATGCACGCGCGTGCGCACCAACGCGCACGATTGCCCCCCCTGCCGTGGCATCACGCCCCACGGACGGCCCCGCGTGAATGTGCCCAGAATGTGCGGGCGTGCAAATTCAGAATTGGTTTGTGCACGTGCGCAAGCAAGTTGGCAATGCACCAATACACGCCTAGTTGGGGCATGCTTATGCGGCGGTCTGGCGCCGAGTCTCGAAAGAGCAGGATCAGATGCCGATGGAAAATCCCCCGCACAGCTAAAGCTCTGCAGACTTATGACGGAGACTGCTTGGATTCAAACTGTAGGTCTGGCTGGCTTGACCAGCGATTGTAATGTTTTCTATTAGCTCACCATCTGCTCCTGGCGCTGACCGGAAGAGCCAAACCTGCTCAGGGTACGTTGTGAAGGTCTGCTGTGATCCGGGCCGCAAGCTGCCTCTTGGCTGCTCGTGCCCCTGCTCACTCACAGAGAAGACGTGGATCTCCTCTGAAGCAAGCTGGTTAATGAAAAAAGCAGTGATGTTGGCTTCCATGTTGCATGGGATGCCACTTCTGAATCGCGCAATCGCCGCATTCTCTGTTCCGAAATGGTACTTGCTAAGCGGCCTCAACCCAGCGCTGACCCGCTCCCGGTTACAACGCGCAAACTCGTCCATAAAATCGACTGTCTCCTTTCCAGAAGTACATACGTTGCGCTGGTACTCGTACAATGCTTTCTCTAAGCCGATGCGCACTGCATTGTTGCCAGGGTTGTGATATCCAAGCCGCAGGAAGGCTGTGATAATTTTGCGCATCAACTTACTTTTCAATAGTTTCTTGAACGTGTCTCGCCTGGGTATGGAATATGCCCAAATGTCAATGCTCAACTGAGTGCGCGACTCATTGCCAGCGTTCCATAATGTATGAGGCTGGTAAGCGTCGAACACGTATGCACGTCCCGACTGCATGTGCGTATGGAGAGCCTTGCCAGAAGCAAAAAACCGCATGTGTTCTTGTCCTGTCAATGGGATATGAATTCGAATCACGGCTGGGTGATTTCTTTCCCAACCTACACTTCGAAAGTTCTCAATTGTGCTTACGTTGCAATATGTGCATATCGCGCCAACTAGGCCGATTGCAAAATCTCCATGCCACTCAACAAACTGACTTGGTGTAAGATAGTTGAACTCAATTTCCTTGATCAGCGGAGGCTCGAATGATTGAAGGAAATCAATAAACCCACGAAGCCCACGCAACGATTTGTAAGCACCTGGGTTCAATGGGCAGGCGGTTTGACGGTAAACGTCCCGCTGCGCGCATCCACTGTCCATGAAGACCTGGTGGAGTGGTTCAGGGTCCACTTCAAAACCAAGGGGCTGCATCTGAACGATTCCTGGAGCACTGGCAAGTAGCTTCCTCTGGCGCTCGACAAAATCTCGCGGCCCCACATCGCCATCCAACAGATGCGGGTTGTTCGGGATTGACGCCAGGACGCATCCCTCCGATTCAATCGCAAAGCTCAACTCGCCCACTAGTGAAATCATTGGTGGGGTCTCGTCCTTTCCATGGAAGGGAAGTTTGCCGAGTATGCGTTTGAGAGCCTTCGTGTCACATACCGGAGTCGTGTCAACCACTGCCGCAACTTGGCGACTGATAGAAAGCCCTACATATAATAACCACTTTACAACACATGATGCTCCAAACCTTAGCATCCTCACGATCAAGGAAAGCCCAAATCATCATAATATTCGAGCCATGTTATGGGATTGCGAAGTCGCGTCCACGACGGTGGAGAGCGTAACGGAGAGGGGACACCAAAAAATAGTGTGCGTGTGGACATCACGTATACGAAATAACGGCAGGGAGAAATGTCAGAAGCAAGTTGTGGATCCGCTTCACGCTGATTTCCCCACCCACACAGTGCTTGCATTTAGGGGTTCTTACTTTGCTTGCTTACGTGATTGGATGGATTTCCCAAAATTTCGCCACGTTGGCTCCCGTGCCCGCTCCTGTGCGCCTCGTGGGCGCTCCGTGGGTGGGTGGGTTTCCCGAAGGTTCGCCGCGTTGGCGCCCGTGCCCGCTCGAAGGCGCCCCGTGCGCTGGGGGGGTGGGCTTCCCGAGGGTTCGCCGCGTCGGCGCCCGTGCCCGCTCGTGGGCGCATCGAAGGCGCCCCGTGCGAGGGGTAGGTTTCCCGAGGAGTTGCCGCGCTGGCGCCCGCACCCGCTCCTGTGCGCCTCGTGGGTGCCCCGTACGCTGGGTGGGTGTCCCGCGGTTTCGCCTCGTTGGCGCCCTTGCCCGCTCGTGGGCGTCCCGTGGGCTTAGATCACATCGCTGATGCAACTTAGCTTGCACCGCTGGGCTTTCATTTTTCATAGCTCGCACCACATAGCTCACACCACATAGCTTACACAATATAGCTTGCACCACGTAGCGAATAGCGCCCACCATCTATCTTGTATCCCACAACTTGCACACCATGACTTACACAGCATCTATTCCACTATATAGCTCAAACCAAATAGCTTACACCACGTAGCTTGCACTGCACAGCTTACACAACATCGCGTGCACCACGTAGCTTTCACAACATCTATAACCTCCACTGTGCAATACTTGACTGCTGGGGGTCCACACTTGTTGACACTGTGTTTGCTAGATCAAGGCAGTGCGCCCTGCGTTCATTGCAGCATCCTAAATGCTCTGGATTCGTGTGCGACTTACTTCCGATCTCAGACTATTGGTCGGAAGACGTAGGCGACTGTTATATTGCATGTTGAGCGGCATCTGAACTTGTATTGTGACGGGGAGACCACCAAGCAAGACACACGCTAAACTAGCGTCTGACTACTTCCCAACCTGTGAATGAATCATGACGCGTTTCGGCTTCCTCCCAAGAAAATAATCTAAAACCCTGCACAGTCCCCCCAACCACGTGCCCATCCCACAGCTGCCTGCAACAGCCGTTCCATGTTCAAGACGCACACTATGAATTATTGGCCGGGTCATCGAACTTGGTGACGGCCCCAGAATTGGCGATAGCCAAGGAAACTGCGAGACATATCGGCAATACGTATGGGTCAAGAGTAGTTCCACGTCTGTGACGTTACTCAATCGACTCTTGCTTGTCCAGTGTTGGGCCGCTTTGCCTAATCTCTCGCTCTCTCGCTCTCTCTCGCTCTCGATTTCGTCATCGGTCTCACTATCGTTTTCGCACCAGCGGGACACCGGGACACCGGCGGGACACCGGCGGGACACCGCTTGCCGGAGGGAGAATCATTTGGTCTGGCAAAAGCCCAGCCACAAGCGGGACACCGGCGGGACACCGCAGGCCACCGCTTGCCGGAGGGAGAATCATTTGGTCCGGCCGCGCCTCAGCTACAGGAGACTTTCCTCTCGCCTGCCCACGCAGCTTCGCCTCGCCCGCACGCACGGCACGCACGAACACGATACCGAAATCGTCTTCCAGGTGGGGGGCTCTCCGTTCCACTTCGATCTCATCCCCCTAACCTCCGATCTCTATGTTCATATATCTACCTATGCACCTATATACCCATCCACCCATGTGTGTATATATATATATATATATAGTTATCCATCCATCTATCTATCGATCCATGTACCGACATATCTCTCGATCGATCTATCTATCTATATAACTGTCTGCCTATCCGTCTCTGTATCCACCATCGGGACACCCATCGGGACAACCATCAGGACAACCATCAGAACAATCATCAGGACAATCGTCGGGACAACCATCGGGACAACCATCGGGTCTTCATCAAGACCCCCATCGGGACAACCATCGGGACAACCGTCGGAAAAAACATTTAGATAACTATCGGGAAAACCATTGGGACAACCGTCGGGACAAGCATCGGGACACCTATCGTGACAACCATCGGGACAATCGTCGGGACAACCATCGGAACACCCATCGGGACAACCATCGGGACAACCATCAGGACAACCATCGGGACAACCGTCGGAACAACCATCGGGACAACCATCGGGACAGTCGTCGGGACAGCCATCGGGACAACCATCGGGACAACCGTCGGGACACCCATCGGGACAACCATCGGGGCAACCATGGGGACAACCATCGGGACAACCGTCGGGACACCCATCGGAACAACCATCGGGACAACCATCGGGATAACCATCGGGCACCCCATTGGGACAACCATCGGGCCCACCATCGGGTCAACCATCGGGACAACCGTCGGAAAAAACCATTTAGATAACTATCTGGAAAACCATTGGGACAACCGTCGGGACAACCATCGGGACACCTATCGTAACAACCATCGGGACAACCGTCGGGACAACCATCGGGACAATCGTCGGGACAACCATCGGGATACTCATCGGGACAACCGTCGGGACACCCATTGGAAAACCATCGGGACATCCATCGGGACAACCGTCGGGATAAACGTCGGGACAAATATTGGGACAACTCCGTCGGGACAACCATCGGAATACCCATCGGAAACACCATCGGGACAACCATCAAGACAACCATCGGGACACCTATCAGGACAACCATCGGGACAACCGTCGGGACACCCATCGGGATAATCGTCAGCACAACCATCGGGAAAACCATCGGGACGTCCATCGGGACATCCATCCGGACACCCATCGGGACAACCATCGGGACAACCATCGGGGCAACCATCGGGACAACCATCAAGGCAGCCCGCGGGACAACCATCGGGGGGAGGGGGCGGACGACCTTTTGGGCTCCATATGGCCTCTGCCCGCAGGAACTCGCGCAACTTGGCCTCGCCCACCCGCACGACACCTCCGATACAATGATACAGCGATGTTGGAACGATATGCAGGGACATACGGGGAGAATGCTGGATTTTCCGAACAAGTCCAAACTACAAGGGGCCTTGGTGTTCAGAGCTTGTTACTTCACCGCTCTCTGTTGGGAGCCCTCATGTTCAGAGACTTTTACGTCGCCGCTGGCTCTTGGGAGCCTTGCTACTCAGAACTTATTGCGTCACCGCGCTCTGGGGAGCCGTGGTGCTCAGAGCTTGTTACGTCACCGCTCGCTGTTGGGAGCCATGGTGTTACATGGCGTCTCTGGGGCTTCTTGGGGGTCTTTGGGGGGCCCTTTGGGTGCCCTTTTGGGCCGTCTTGGGGCGTCTTGGAGGTCTGTGATCGTCTTGGGGCTCTCTTGGGGGCCTCTAGGGGCCCTCTTGGGAGCCTCTTTGGGTCTTCCTGGGGCTCTCTTGTGCCGTCTTGGGGCCCTCTGGGGCCGTCTTGGGACCCTCTGGGGCCGTCTTGGGGCCCTCGTGGATCGTGCTCGGGCCGTTTGGGGGGCCTCGTGGGCCGTCGGGGGACGATCTTGGGAGCCTCTTGAGCCGTTCTGGGCCGTTCTGGGCATGACAAGGCGAGAACGCCAAAAACTATCAAAACACATTGACGAATCATTGACTTTGCCTCAGGGGGCCCTCTTAGGTGGTCTCTTGAAGGCCTCTTGGGGCGTCTCGGGGCCCTCTTGGGCTGTCTTGGAGGCCTTCGGCCGTCTTGGAGCTTTCTTTGGGGCCCTCCTGGGAGCCTCTTTGAGCCGTCTTTGAGCCGTGGTGCTCAGAGCTTGTTACGTCACCGCTCGCTGTTGTGAGCCATGGTGTTACTTGGCGTCTCTGGGGCTTCTTGGAGGTCTTGTGGGGGCCCTTTGGGTGCCCTTTTGGGCAGTCTGGGGGCCCTTTTGGGCCATCTTGGGGCGTGTTTTTTTTTTTTTTTTTTTTTTTTCTTGTTTCGGCCTTGATGGTACAACCGCCGCGGCGTGGGTACATTGCGGCATTTTAAACTAAGATCCTGCTCACGAAATACATGACGGAGCGGGTATAGTGGGCCATCACCGCTGGATCACCTGGGGTCCGCCCATGGTGGTGTCAATGCGCTTGTCCATAATGCCCCAGTTCACCTTCTCGAACATGGTGTCCACCTCGGAGCGCTTGGCGACAAGCAGCGGGCGCTTTCCGTACGGAACGGAGGTGTACAGCTGCACCGCCAGGCCGCCGGGGCTCATGTCGGCGGCCAGCCAGACCCAGCCCTTTCCGTCGTCAATCACCTTCTGAGTCTCGTCGTTCCCGGGGCCGCCCTTGACGACGTGCTTGCCCAACTTCATCTGCTCCTTGAGGCCCGCGATGCCGACGGCGATGTCCCTCTTGCCGATCCCCCCGGGGGGCGGACCCTTCCACTGGCCGCTGTAGCGGGTGAACGTGCCCTTGTCGTCCCACACCCCGTGGAAGTGCTTGACGATGAGCTCCGCCGTGATCGAACCCTTCGGGGGGTCGCCGCCGCTGCCCGAGATCGTCTCGTCGTAGAACGCCTGGATGTCGGCATCGCTGACGTCGTACTCTCCGCCGCCGCGCGCGGCCCGGGCCACCTGCCCCCGCACGGTGGCCCCCGAGGCGGTCGGGCGCGCCGAGGGCGCGGGCGCCACGAAGGCGCTCGGCAGGAGGTAGAGCCCCAGCGCGAGGGCTAGGCAGGCTGGCAGGCCAGTGCCTCGGAGGGGGGCCATGGCGCCAGTAGCCCAGCGAGCAGCGTCGAGCTTCGGTCGAGAGGTGTCGGAGCCCCGGGCCGAAAAGCGCTTGAGCCAAAATGGCTACGGAGGGGCCATCTTGGGGCGTCTTGGCGGTCTGTGGCTGTCTTGGGGCTCTCTTGGGGGCCTCAGGGGGTCCTCTTGAGAAGCCTCTTGGAAGCCTCTTGCGGTGTCTCGGGGCCCTCCTGGGCCGTCTTGGAGCTTCCCTTGGGGCCTCTTGGGGCCCTCTTTGGGCCCACTTGGGGCCCTCATGGGGCTCTGTTAGGGCCGTCTTGGTGCCCTCTTGGGTCGTTTCGGGGCCCTCTGGGGCCGTCTTGGGGCGCTTGAGCTGTTCCACTCGAACAAATATGAAGAAACGGGCCAGTGGAGCCGCCCGGGCCGCTTCATGAAACAAAAAGGAAAACACGGAAGCTGGCCGCTCGACGTTTCGCCCGCGCCTCGCCCCTCCCCTGGAACGACACCCTAAAAGGCTTCGCCCCACCAGGGCCCCGCCAGAACGTCATCGCTCGTACCTCGCTCTTTCGGTTGCCTGGGCCGGCACGGAAACGGAAAGAGCGCTTCACGAACTTGCCCGAGATTGATCATGGCACCCACCCTTCGCTCCTGGGAGCCTGCGCGGCATGGGACAACGTGTCGGAGACCCGGAGAGTTTCCCGCCGTGTGTCCCTCGAAATGTCGTGCAACACGGTGCTTTTGTTTAGACCATTTTCTTGAAAGCGCCGTCCTGGGAGGCTCGCTTCGGCGGGTGCTGAAGCCCCACCGCTGTGTATGCACCGATAAGACCACCCTACGGGTGATAAGGAAGTTTCGGGGGGAAAGGGGAGCGGGGGTTGTGTCGGAAGCTCGAAAAAAATTCCCGTGTGCCCCTCGAAATGTTGTGCAACACCGTGGCTTAGTTTATACTTCCTTCTTGGAAACGCCGTGGGGGAAAAGCCGGTTGCGCTCGTCGAGCAGCGCCACGAAGGAAGGCCTCGGCGACCGAAGGTGGGGACCGGTGCATCCCCGCAGTACGATGGTATTGCCACGCAAGCTATACCAAATTCCCTCGTGGCCCTGATGGTATTAGTTTTTCCGACGGGTGTTGAACGCAGGGTGCAGTAGTGTGTGTGGTATGGCCGCACGTCTGCGTGCTCTTCCCTCCCCCTCGCGTGTCGTGGAAAACCGAGCCAGTAGGACACGTTGCCGTATCCTCGCCATGGTGTAGGCCATCGGAAGCCAGGATTTGATGCGCTTCTGCAGCCCCACATCGGAAGGGGAAGGCGTGTCAACCACCTGTGAACACTGTGGCGGGCAACATGTACCAATGGGAGTGTCCTGCAAATGACGACCTTCGCCACGACGTGCGGGTCCCGACCGACGGCCTCACGCGCAGACTGTGGTGGCCCACAGCGGAAACTTGACACCATGCATCCACACATTACAGCGGTCATGTGGGAGGCCAGGTTAGGGGTGCTGCGTAGAGCATCTTGAGCGACGCGTAAGGCGATCTTGAAAACGCCATCCTAGGAGGCTCGTTTCGGCGGTGCGGCCGGAGCCTCACCGATGTGTATGTGTGCAATCTGCATAGGTTTTGGAGCGATGTGCAGGGACACACGAGGATAACGCTGGGTTTTCCAAACAAGTCCAAACTACAGGGAGCCTTGGTGTTAAGAGCTTGTTACTTCACCGCTCTCTGTTGGGAGCCCTCATGTTCAGAGACTTTTACGTCGCCGCTGGCTCTTGGGAGCCTTGCTATTCAAAGCTTTTTACGTCACCGCGCTCTGGGGAGCCGTGGTGTTCAGAGCTTGTTACGTCACCGCTCGCTGTTGGGAGCCATGGTGTTACATGGCGTCTCTGGGGCTTCTTGGGGGTCTTTGGGGGGCCCTTTGGGTGCCCTTTTGGGCCGTCTTGGGGCGTCTTGGAGGTCTGTGATCGTCTTGGGGCTCTCTTGGGGGCCTCTAAGGGCCCTCTTGGGAGCCTCTTTGGGCCTTCCTGGGGCTCTCTTGTGCCGTCTTGGGGCCCTCTGGGGCCGTCTTGGGACCCTCTGGGGCCGTCTTGGGGCCCTCGTGGACCGGCTCGGGCCGTTTTGGGGGCCTCGTGGGCCGTCGGGGGACGATATTGGGAGCCTCTTGGGCCGTTCTGGGCCGTTCTGGGCATGACAAGGCGAGAACGCCAAAAACTATCAAAACACATTGAATAATCATTGACTTTGCCTCAGGGGGCCCTCTTGGGTGGCCTCTTGGAGGCCTCTTGGGGCGTCTCGGGGCCCTCTTGGGCTGTATTGGAGGCCTTCGGCCGTCTTGGAGCTTTCTTTGGGGCTCTCCTGGGAGCCTCTTTGAGCCGTCTTGGGGCTCTCTTGGGGCCGTCTTGGTGCCCTCTTGGGTCGTTTCGAGGCCTTCTTGGGCCGTCTTGGGGCCCTTGAGCCGTTTCACTCGAATAAATAGAAGGAAACGGGCCATTGGAGCCGCCCTGGAGCAGCTTCATGGGAAAATATGCAAGGGAAACTAGCCATTCGACTTTTCGCCCGCGCCTCACCCCTCCCCTGGAACCCCACCACAACGTCATCGCTCATACCTCGCTCTTTCCGTTACCTGGGCCGGCACGGAAACGGAAAGAGCGCTTCAAGAATTTGCCCGAGATGGCTCATGGCACCCTTCGCTCCGGGGAGCCTGCGCGGCCCGGGACAACGTGTCGGAAACCCGAAGAGTTTCCCATGTGTCCCTCGAAATGTTGTGCAACACAACGGTTTTGTTTTCAACATTTTCTTGAAAACGCCATCCCGGGAGGCTCGTTTCGGCGGTGCGGCCGAAGCCCCACCGCTGTGTACGTGTGCAATCTGTGCATAGGTGTTGGAAGGATGTGCAGGGACACGCGGGGACAACGCTGGACTTCCCAAACAAGTCCAAACTACAGGGAGCCTTGGTGCTAAGAGCTTGTTACTTCACCTCTCTCTGTTGGGAGCCCTGGTGTTCAGAGACTTTTGCGTTGCCGCTTTTTGTTTCTCCTGGTAGGAAGGCAGGCGGCACGAAGAAAATGGATGTGACGGCAAACCCGACCATCCCAACAGAGCGGCGCAGCGTCGCTCTCCAAAATGACAATTCACAGAACGGTGCTTGAAAACATCCGAATGGCAAGCTAGACCCAGATGGCAACAACACCCTCCCGAACGCCACTTACTCCACTTCACTCGACGACGCCCGTCTCGGCGTCGTCGCCGTCGCCGACAACATCCTCGCCGGCGCCCGCGTCTTCTGGCAACGTTGTTGTGACGGGCCAAGGCCTCTGCACAAGAACCGTCACGAACGGGTTTCCCTCATCCTTGCGAGCAGCCTCCAGCTGAAGGTTTATGCGCTCCAAGAACTGCTTAGCCTGGCCGTGCCAAAGAACGTTGTTCACCTTGGCAATGTGATCGCCGACCCTGATGTCGGTAAGTGGATTCTTCTCATTCCAGTCGTGCACCGCACCCACGTTTCTGACCTTTTCGACCTTAATTGGGGCCGTCTCGTTGTCCGAGCTAAGGTGCCAACCCACGATCTGACCGTTCACAATCGGCAGCCGGATGTAGAATTCATGGGAGAATGGCCTGCCCTTGTCCTCCGCGAAGGCGTCCTGAACTCCGACAGGCCTCCTCAGGAAAAGTGATATGTTACCAGTTACCTTTGATTTGGAATACTGCTCGTTCAGGCGCTTCTCGAATGAAGACGAGTCCTGGCGCCACAAGATACTGTTCACCTTGACAATGACGTCTCCTGGCAAGATCTTCGACTCTGGGTGCTCTTGGTTGTGCTCGTACACCACGCCATTGCTGCGGACCTTGGAAACAGTAAGTGGAAACTCCTCCTCGCTGTGACTCAGCTGCCAACCCAAAATCTTTCCCTCGCCAGCGGGCAGCGTGACGGTCCATTCCTTCATGATCGGCTGGACCAGACGCCGTTGCATTACAAGATTCAGGGTTTTGTCGCTAGGCATCTGGCCCCTGTGCGGGCGCGAGATGCCGAATTCCTTGTCGATGCGGTCGGCGAACTTCTTGGTATTGCCATGCCATGGGAGGTCATTCACTTTCAGGATGGTATCGCCGACACGCACCATGGCCTCAGGATTTGCCTTGTTGTAAGAATCCAGAAGGCTACCCCGTCTGATTTTTTCGACGACAATAGGTTCTGCGTCACTGCTTTTGTTGAGGTGCCAGCCCAAGGGACGAGAGTCTTTCAGAGCGAGCTGGGCAGAGTACTGCTTCGTGTACACCTGTTCCTCGGGCGTGTCACTCACCGACCTCGGTCTCCGGATGCTGAGCTTGAGGACATTTTCATTGCTGGGAGTGCCAACGCGCTCCGATTTTCGCGCAGCTGTGAACTGTGCCTCGAGGCGATCCACAAAGATCTTAGCATTGTGATGCCACTGGATGTGGTTCACCTGGAGGATCTCATCGCCGGCGAGTACCTTCGCGTCGGGGTGTTCCTTGTTGTACATGGACACAAGACCAGTGTTGCGCATTTTCTCGATAGAGATTGGCATCCAGTCCACCGTCGCATTCAACTTCCATCCCATGGCCTGGTAAGTGAAGCACCAGGGAGGACACCTTTGAGAGGAATCTCAGCCACAAATTCTTTCGAATACAACTTCTTGTGCAGATCTTCGCGCTGCGATTGGAAACGATGCCCCTTGTTCTTCCTGGGGCGCTGGATAGTTAAAGTCAAGGTGTTCCTTGCGCCAGGCACCCGGCCCCTGGATGCCAAAAACTGGCCCTGGATGCGCTTTGCAAACGTTCCTGAATTATGGTGCCACATGATATCGTTCACCTTCATGATTTCGTCGCCGACCAAAACGGCCTTGTCTGGATGCAGCCTGTTCCAAGCTTCGAGGATGCCCGTCTTTTTGATTGTCGTGACAGTAACGGGCTCGTAATCAGTGTCCATGTTCAGCACGACGCCGACCGACTTTTTATGGGCATCAGACATGTCGAGGTCCACCACGAACTCCTTCTCGAACTTGGAGGCATGCACGGCGGCGCGCTCCTGCGGAGAGAACGTCACCGACACATCCGAGCCTTCTCCCAGGGACTCCACCTCAGTGGCACCCATTTGAGCACCATTGGATTCCCCGCGGCGGTGGATTGTGATGTCGAGGAGTGCCTCGAGGGCGACGCTTGTCTCTGCCTTCAGAGCTACAGCAGGCACGGCAGCGGTGACGAGCAGGACGGTGAGCCGAAAGGGTGCCATCGCACCAGTTCGGCAGCGCACTGCGTTGCGGGATGCTGGAAGTATCAGGAAGGTGCAGTGGAACGAAATCACGGCGGCGAGCAATAAGAGCCCCTGGCGAGTACGGCTTGAGCCAAGATGGCTTGAGCCAACATGGCTAATTACGGATACGATGCTGCTCGCTCTTGGGAACCTTGCTTTTCGAAGCTTTTTACGTCACCGCGCTCTGGGAAGCCGTGGTGTTCAGAGCTTGTTACGTCACCACTCGCTGTTGCGAGCCATGGTGTTACATGGCGTCTCTGCGGCTTCTTGGGGGCCTTTTGGGGGCCCTTTGAGTGCCCGTTTGGGCCGTCTTCAGGCCCTTTTGGGCCGTCTTGGGGCGTCTTGGAGGCCTGTGCCCGCCTTGGGGTTCTCTTCGGGGCCTCTGGAAGCCGCGCTGGGCACCCTCTGGCGCGAAGCCAGGCCCATCAAGTGGCAGTGCGATTCAGCCTGTCCCCGCTGTTCTTTTGAGAGGTGATGTTGGTTTTGTCGACTAAATTCGAGCTGTAGGCGAACTTGCCGGGGCTGGCTCGCAGCCGTCTTCGTCTGCGAGAAACATTCGGCTGTTAGATCGGGCTGGTTAGATCGGTTGGGTTGGTTGGGCTGGCTGTCTATAGGCGGCGGGCGCTGTGTAGGCGGGCCAGGGCAAGGGGGGGAAATGAGAAGGAGAAGGCCTTCTCGGAAGGCGGCGGGACTTCTCAGAAGCCCTCGCGCCTTCTGAGAAGCTCTTCTTGTCCTCGGGGAAAGGAAACTTCTCAGAAGGCCGGGGGGCTTCCGAGACGTCTGAGACGGCCCGCCCCTTCTCGCTTCCCCCCCTCGCTCGCCGCCGAGTTTCGGCGGGCCAGGGCAACAGGTTTCGATCAAAGCCCCTGCTCCACCTGCCACTGGAGCCTACTAGCAGCACCTGCGCCAAACAGCATCAACGTCCCCCGTCCTTCACCCCTCTCCGCGCCTCACGACAGACCCAAGGACGTCCAAGAGGGCGCCAGCATGCTCCTATAGCGCAGCTCAGGAAGGCTACAGGGGCCGACAGGACGGCCCAAGACTTAGGTCGGGCATGTCATCCTACAGGCGGATTTTGGACGAAATGCGAAAAATAGCTGAACAATCTTCAAAACTAAATAGAAACATAATAGACAAGTCGTCCCCAGAGTATTTTTGAATATTCCTGAGCGACATGCCCGACTTAATCCAAAACGCCTCCAGCACACCTCCGAAGATCTTGAAGACGGCCGGCGAGGTGAGGCCCCGAGCGGGTCCAGGAGAGAGCCGGCCGGAGCCTAAGAGGCCCCAGCACCCAGTCCGCGAGACCCCTGGGAGAGCCCATACGTAACCAGTCCGCGGCTCGTACCGCGCAGACACACGTCCTGGACCGCGGCCGCAGGCCAAACCTGATACAAAGCCCGACCCGATAACACATGACGAACAAAAGACACATGAGGAATAAGATGGTAACCGTCATGGTAAGGAGCAGGCTGCTGCTGCTGATGATGCTGATGCTTATGCTGATGCTCATGCTGATGCTCTTGCTGATGCTGCTGCTGATGCTGCTGCTGCTGATGATGATGATGATGATGCTGATGCTGATGCTGATGATGATGATGATGATGATGATGATGATGATGATGATGATGATACTGATGATGCTGATGATGCTGATGATGATGACAGTGACGATGATGAGAAGGAGGATCATATGGAGGCCTTGCAGGAGGACGAGACACATGAGAAAGATGGAACAAAAATGAGGAGCAGTACTGAGGATGACGAGGAAGGGTGTGAATATCGTTTTCACACCACATGTGGGGTGCATCTTCTGCGGCATGAGTGGGAATCACACATTGGAGTCTTGGAACGGCCGCTGGCTTTGCTTATAAGAAGCAGTGTAGGTGACACAGGAAAAAAACATCTCGAGAGCCGAACGCATGCGCGGCACGTCAAAGGAAGCTTCGTGCACTGCTGGCCGCGAAACGGGCCCAGGGACACAAGGGAGCGGGAGGATGAGGGGGAGGGGGGGGGGCGTGAAAAGGAGATGGGGAGGGGAAGGAGAAGAGGAGGGAGGATGGGGAAGATGAGGGAGGATGGGCGGAGGGAGGGAGGGGGAGGCACGAGCTGGGGGGGAAGAGTGGCCGTAGGAGGCGGACGAGCAGAATGAGGGAGGGCGGTGGGAGGAGGAGGAGGAGGAGGAGGAGGAGGAGGAGGAGGAGGAGGAGGAGGAGGAGGAGGAGGAGGAGGAGGAGGAGGAGGAGGAGGAGGGAGGAGGAGATGTGGCAAGGGAGGGGGAGGCTGGCGAGACGAGGATGGGCGGAGAGGCGCGAGAGCGGGCGACAACGAGGCCACGGCCGCGCACAGGCGCCCGCGCCCCGACGGCGCGCAGGCGCCCCGGGAGAGGCCGAGCGACGGGTGCATTAGCTGGGCCCGCGGCCGCAGCGCGGGGCAGGGCGCAAGGCAGCCGTCTTGCCATCGCTCGGACGGGCCCTGAAGGGGCGGTCGGCGGCGTCCGTCGGTCGGGGTCGTCGTCGTCGTCGTCGTCGTCGTCGTCGTCGTCGTCGTCGTCGTCGTCGTCGTTGGCGTCGTCGTCGTCGTCGTGGCCGTGGTCGTGGTCGTGGTCGTGGTCGTCGGTCGGGGTCGTCGTCGTCGTCGTGCCCTTTTGTCCAGAAAGGGCCTGAGCCCGAGGCTCTCTTCCGGATGTTTACCCCCAGCTTCGACCTGAAGGGGAGGGCCGGCGGGAAAAAGGTGGATTTGTCTAGAGTGCGTTTCGCACGTGCGCCCGCTCCAGGAAAATGTGCCCGCTGTGTCGGGTTCTCGGTAAGTATCGGGGTCCGCAGACACACGTTTTCCCAGGTATAAAACGGAGTGCGGAGCGCTTTGCGCATAATCCGCAATAGAACACGAGCTGTGGAGGCTTTGTAATTCATTAGATCATGAAGAAATGTACTTTGCACGCCCGCTCGAAGATGGCGCGCACTGCGCGCCGAATATCTGAGGATATCTCGAGCGAAACGCTTGTTTTGCAGAACTTGAGCGGCCTGGGCGCCCCAGGATGCCCAAGTGGTTCTGGGAGCCCGAACACAAAGTCATTGACTGGGGAACGTAGCCTGGGAGAGCGAACACAACGTAATTCACGAGGGAGCGCGGCCCTGGGAACGCGAACGCAGCGTAGTTTACGAGGGATCGTGGCCCAGGGAGGGCGGACGCAGCGTAATTTACGAGGGATCGTGGCCCTGGGCCTGACGCCTTCCCTGGCACGTCCCCTGGCGCGTTGCCTTGCACGTTCCCTGGCACGTCCCGTGGCGAATCCCCTGTTCACGTCGCGCAGCGCGCCCCCTGGCACGTCCCGTGGCACGTCTATTGGCACGTTCCGTAGCGCGTCCCCTTGGCACGTCCCGCGGTGCGTCCCCATGGCGCGTCCCCCTGGCACGTCCCCTGACGCGTCTCTTGGGACGTTCCGCGGCGCGTCCCCCTGGCATGTCCCCCTGGCATGGCCCAATTGCTTGTGCAGCCGAGGTCCTCAGAAGCGGTTCCATGCCTCGCAGTTCTCAATCCCTTTCCGGGTTCGTAGGTCGCTAATGTTCGGTTTCGTGCCTTCTTTTGCCAGCCATCCTGTGGTGTTGGGTCCTTGTCTTGAACCCGCAGCGCCCCGCGTTCACTCCTTACCCTTCTCCTTCTTATCCTCCTCCTCCTTCTTCCTTATCCTCCTCTCTCTCCTCCTGATCCTCCTCCTTCCTCCTCCTTGTCCTACTCCTTGCTTCCTCCTTATCCTCCTCCTCCCTCCTCCCATCCCTGCCTCTGCCCTCCGCATGTCCTCATGGGAGCTCCACCAAAGCCCCCAGTGTCAGGAACTGCGTACGTGACCACGCCCATGCGGGCACACGTCTGACAAGTCTCGTGGCCCCGCGAGGAGCTCCGCCGCTCGGAAGTGCATCCCCCGTGCACTGTTTGGTTTCGAGCGCGTCCTTCTTTTGCTTCCTCGATGTGGTCCAGAGTGCTCCAACATGTTTGTTTTTGTTTTCTGGCGCTGGCCTCGCCATGTCGCCAAGAACAGTGCACACGTCCGAGCGGTGCCAGGGCATGGCCTCCGCGGGCGCGCGGAGGCGGCGGCCAACAAACACGCTGCGCGCCAGGCGAGCAGTGCGCCGCGAGGGGAGGAGGGGGGCCGGGTTGGCGTGCACGCCCGGGGCGAGCACGATGATGACGACGACGACGACGAGGACGAGGACGAGGACGAGGACGAGGACGACGACGACGAGGACGACGACGACGGCGACGACGAGGACGACGACCAGGGCGTTTTTACATTTATTCGGCCTCTTGGGGTCGCTCTCGCCGGGCCTTGGGGACCGTCAGAGAACGACTCGGGACG